GGTAGCAGTTGAAAGAGATACATCAGGATGGAGTGACCAGCTAAACCTGCTGAAGTGTGGAATATCACCAGGTCTCTTGGGAGAGGCTTCACTGCCAGTGCACGTCGGGATGTTCTGGACAATAACTTTTCTGTCATAGTACACTTTTCATTACTTTAATCTCCCACTTGAAACATGGTCAAAGTACCTAAAAGTAGCTTGAAAAGGAAAATCATAATCAGTAGTTGACCATAAACATGATGTATTAGTTGTCATTAGAAGATATGTAATACAGATTATTTTGTGCTGGAGGGATATACATGTACAGATCTTCCTGAAGCACCGCATCCAAAATGGCTGAATCATACAAGAATTTATGTATTTATTACTTCTAACAGCTTTTCCAACTGCATGTACCAAGGAATCAGTGATAGCAAATAAAGCATGATTTTCTCTCTTATCTTGAGAGAATCAAAAGTAAACCCCACCAATTGTATTCATAAATACAATAGAGAGTAATAGGTAATTTATAGGTATTTATATGAATATTCATATATTGAGCTCAGAAAATGGGCACCTTGTTATTCATCATTTTAAAACATGTTTATAGAATACAAATATATTAGTTCTTGGGGTTTTTTCCTAATGCTGATGAAAATGAATAGTACTTGGGGACCAAGTCTGCCTATTAAAGTGATGTGATACATTCCCATGCTTGTACAGAAATGAGCACAGATGGCGGGTCTATTATTTCTCTAGCAAGAAATTTGTCATATTTTTTCCCCAGGATTCAAATCTGAGCAACACTTGCTTAAGTCAGACTACCTCTGTGGGGATCCTTAAAATATTTTTCCCATTATTTGTACATTAGGAGTTATAGAAACAGAAAATGATTAATGCCATATTAAAACTTTAAAATGAATGAAGTCTCTCAAACCAAGAGTCTGAGATTTTCATATTTCCCCCCACCCCCAAATAAAGGGAAACAAATTTTGCATGTAAATGTGAATCTACAGGGATGAAGTTTTGTGTACCGTGCTCAGATTCCCAATAGCCCATTTAGCTTTGACAGATCATTTAATTTACATTAGAATACTTGAAGATGTTAGATTTTTAGACATTTGTTAATTAAATACAATTACATGGAGTATGAAACAACTTATGAGTAATTTATGATTTTTGTCGGCAAAAGATACCATTTCAAGCAGACAAAGAGTAGATTAAACATAACTATGTTGACGTTCATAATCTTACTTTTATGATAAGAATCAATACAGCAATATTTAATAAGGTTTTGTCAATGCCTTATTATACATCCAAAGAAAGAAAAAAGGTTTTCAATCTGCCTTATGACTTGTCAGAGCATATAATTACAACAAACTCAAAGTTAAATGAGAGTTTTTAATGTCAATTGGTCAAAGCTGGATCACCTTGCAGTGAAGGCAAATTTCATACGGGTTAGGATTCCCAATAACAAGAAAAATACAAACTTGTACATTAATTTACTTCAATACATTGAGTGTACTCACATTTTGGCATTCATTGCACACTCTCTCTACCACTCCTTCCTCCTCACACTTCCCCTGCTCCAACATGGAGTCCATCCCATGGGAGTCAGTTGTCCATGAACTTCTCTAACTTGGATCCTTTTTACAGGCTGCAATTCTTCACAAGCTGCACCAGCGTGGGTCTTTTCCACAGGGCGCAGTACATCAGGAACAGGCTCCTCCAGTTTGGGTTCTTCCAAGGGTCACCTCCCAGCAAACCTGCTCCAGCACAGACTTCTCTCCATGTGGGTGTGCAGGGCTGTTTCTCTCATGTTCTCGGTTCATCTCATCCACCTCCTCTTGCTCAGCAGTTTTTTCTCCATTTTAAATCTGTTGTCACAGGAGTGCTACACCATCACTGACATGCTTGGGCTTGGCTAGCAGTGGGTTTGTCTTGGATCTGGCTGGCACTGGCTCTGCTCTGGGGAAAGCTTCTGGCATCCTGTCCCAGAAGCCACTCCTGCAGCCACCCCTGGGCTTTGCTTTTGCCAAGCAAACCAAATATATTTTGGGCAAAATATTCTTCCAAATAGAATTCCATTTAAATGAATCTTAATTTATGAAATCCAGCTCTTCATTTTCCATATGTGATGATTACTTCTGGTATGATCCTGGGGGAGAACTCACATCCAGAACCTGGATGATCAATTTCAAGACTGAAGTCTTGGAATGTAAAATTAAAAACTCTCAAAGGAGTAAAATAATTTCAAAGCTTCAATAACAACTCATCACTTCAAAAGTATAAGGATTTTTTTAAAGTAGAAAAATATCAACTCCTTTAAAAGTCAAGGTGGGAATGTGGTAAATATCTGGTAAATTTGATGAACCAGAAAACTTTGGAATGTGTAGTGATTATACCAATACTGGGTTCAAAGTGTTGGTATATAAGGATTGGTATTTTCTGTATTGACATAAACTTGTATGCTAATTGGGGTCTTCTAGAGCCTGTAACAGACAAAAATGTCAGGAGAATGGGATGAAATGTGTCAGTTTTCACAGAGCAAGGTTTGAAGAGTCTGGGGGAAAATGAAGGATAAGGAAGCCTGCAGGCAGCAGAAAGCAGGGGAAATAACAAATTCATTCTGAAAGCCCTGGAAAGGATCATGCCAGCTGTTGGTGAGAGGAGGATCAGTAGTCAGAAAGAAGGTGGAAATATGCTAAACAGCTCAGGGAAATAAGAAAAAGTAATACCAAGGTTGTTACTACCAGTAGCTATTGATCCAAATATTTGTTTAATAGACCTAAAGATGTGGTGTTATCAAGCACTAGTGTGCTAGTTGTCACTGTTTCAATGCATGTCACTTCTGCTTCAGCTTCTTACCCTTCCCCACTCTCAGCTGAAAAAAGGCGAAGAGGAATTTAGAGAAAGTTGACTCTGAAGAGGTCAGAGAACATGGCTGAAACTCCTAATATCAGATCCACTCTCAAGACAGCATTACCCCAGCTACTTACTCTCATTTGAAAGAAGGGAGTCAGTACTACCAGCTGTGCAAGACTTCTGATTTCATTGTAGAAATAGCTGAAAAATAAATGATAGTCAGTCTTGAATGATTCATAGCCAACTAATTCTCAGGTGAGTGAATACTAATAAAATTGTAGTCTAGGGAACTTTCAGCTTCTGCATGATTTATTTCTTCTTGCATGGTTAGAGAAATTATTATCATTGAATTAAGAAAAGAGAAAGGGTATTCTTTTTCACAGTTATGCAGTTCACAGGAAAATGTGCAATAGTTGGGTTTGCAGCATTTGAAAAAAAGGTGTTAATTGGAAAATTCTGAGTGACAGAAAGTGAGAACACAGATTTTGCATGCTGTGAAACAGAACAAGACCACTGGATTAAAAGAATAGACATAACCTTCAAGATTTTTTATAGTGTTATGGTGTGAAGAGAAATTTTGGTGTTGCATTAAACTAGTATGTTGAGTGAAACCAGTTGTTTTTTCTGGTCACTGCAGCATTGTTCAGCTGGAATTAATTCCTTATTTATTTATATATTTTGTTTTATACAAATGACTGCCAAAGAAATTTTTTTAAGGTTTTCATGTTTAACTTTAATTTTTTGCACACTTAGAATTATCAGAAAGTTTGCTGACCCTGCCCAAATTGCTGCACTAAACAATGGCCCAAGACAAGCAGGCAGACTGTGGATTTTGTACCCCTACATACAAAGTTTTTCCCCATCACTTCAAGCTGGCAAATGGCTCCATTGCTACAAGGCAGCACAAAAAGCTGTCTGCTGTAAATCAGAGTAACACCTTTTCAAAAATATGAGCCATTCATTTATTCAGTGTGTACACTTCCTCAGGAATATCCTCAATCTCATTTAGGGTGAAATTTAAGTAAAGATCAAGGACAAAATATTGTTGTTATGTAGCAACCTCTTTTTACTGAACTGCATTCATTGTTTAGCATACATGCAAGCTTTTCTGCAGAGCTAAGAGGACCTGTAATGTTTTTCATAAAACAAATTCTGCAAAATTTAAATATGCAGTGTTGTCTGCACTTATATGCAGATCTAACAGGCAGGAATAAGATATTTCTTTACTCTGATAAGGTTATTTCCTTTCTTTTCCTTACAGCATAACAGCTGGCAAAATACTTTTGAGACAGAGAGCTATAGAGCTATCCTCTTATAGAGTACACTGAAAAAATATAGCATATGGAGAGTATTTGCATAATGTACAGTATCTGTGATGAGAAGCTAGATATTCAGTTTTTCTTGCATAACTTGAGTATTACATATAATATGGTAAGTTGAATTAAGAATTGCTTCTTAATAAGCTACAGAATCCTGCTCAGTGGTTAGTTTATTTACTGTATTTTGAATTTTGATGTATTATAAACAATGTTCTACTTACTGAAGCAGTTCTTTTTTGAATCAGCTTATATCTAGTTTTTATGTCTTTTTATATATCTACATATCAAGAACATTTTGGCCGTCTCTTACTTAAATAATATATGCAATGCTAAATAATTAATGCACAATATGGTTGTTATCTTTCAATAAATATTCAGTCTGTGCATGCACTCACAAAACCACTAAAAATCTTCAGGTTTATTTCTGAACATACAGTGTGTATGGAATCTAGAGTTTGTTTTAGGACCTTGAAATGTCACACATTAAGGCAATCATCATGCTGTTGTATTTAGCAAAATCAAAATGGAGCACAGTCTTTTTGCACACGCACAAAAATACATGCACAGGGCTGAATGCTTCATGCTAAAAAATGTAGATAATTTTCTTTATTAAAGTTTGCAGTAAACTTGAAATGGTAATAAATAACAGAACTTTGTTGAATTCAGTAATTATATTTTGTTGTATTTCTTTTTGTGAAAAAAAATGCACACAAAATTAATGCATCTCCTTGAAGAGGTATGCTGGTGCCATGAGAGACAATACAAACTAGAAGATGACTCTCTGAGAGTAGAGTAAGTTACTAAAACATTTTTATGTGTGTTTCTGTACCAAACTAGCTATACGCACCGTGTGGTTGGCAGTGGAATCAAAGCTCAGTCTGCAAATCCAGAAGTAAAAGTGAAGGAAACAGATCCTGTAATAAGTCAAATTATTGACAAGCTGAAACATGTTATTCAGGTAAGGAGCTTTTTCCTATGGATACAGTATAGTTCTAACTACCACTCTAGTAATGAAAGTATTAATTTACTGCACCATAAAGGTTAATTCAAGTTTCTGCTGAGTGCACATCCACAGCAAAACACTAGTTGCTCTGTGTCTCACTTCACTTATTAAAATGATTTAGTTAAAAGGCTTGCATATGGCCGATATGTGTAGGAAGTGAGGCTCTGGTAGCTGGGCCATCTGTACCTGCGAGCGCACAGCTCGGCATTGCAGTGAGCATACAGAAGCACCAACAGGATGATTCAGGGATATTAACTGGGTGCATATGTTTACATAACAATAAGACATAATTTCCCTCTTCCCTCTTTGTTAAATTTGGTTCTTTCTTAACTTTGTTTAGATGGCAGATAAAAAAACTAGGAAGTTTGAATGAAAATCACACGCCTGCTAAACGAAAGTTGGTGTTATTTACCTGGTATGCATATCTGTGACTTACTAAATTTAAGGCTTACAAGGAAGTCAATTCCAATGTGGCTCTGTACAGTTATATTATTGCAACAGGTTTACAGGATTACAGGTGTCTCTGGTTACATGCCACATTTATATGCACAGATAGTCGGAACTAGAGGACAAAAGCATAATTCTGTTGAAGACAAAAAGACAACAGTTACTTTGACAACAACAACAACAAAAAAAAGCTCTGTATTTCAGTTTAAAAATACAAGTTTTCACTCTGATCTGAAGGCTCACTGACCAGAAAGGTTCTACAGGCATTTTTTGTCAGTGACCCATTTAACCCAGTATCCTCTTCACTGCACTGGTAAAAGGAGAGGCTGCTTAGGGAGGCCGTGAAGCTTCTCACTGTTATTGTCTCAAATTCCCTTCTCTACCCCATTCCCCAAGCAAGAGAATTAGAGATATTAAATGTCTTCTCCTTGCCTAGTGCATTTATATCCATCTAAGGACTTGCTTTAATTCTGTTTTTACATCTTCTTGACAGGTTTTAAGTACAGTTTTCCACATGGTTTCTGGAGTTGAAATATTACTGATAGCTTCACAGTGAAACCTCTTGGTTCTTATATCTCTAATTGTGAACAATAACTCTGCTCTGACAACCAAACAAACAGTGCTGAAATAGAAAAAAAAAAAAACAGAAAAATTTCTTTTCCATCAGTAGTGTTGTTTTCTGGGAGAAGTGGAATTAGATTTGAAGTTCAAAGGCAATCATTATTCTTTCCTTCTTAAAAGAAATATCTTTTTTATCCCTCCAGCTTCAGCATCATGCTTTTGTCTCTCTTCTTTATTAAAATGCCATCTACAATGGTGGGAAAAATCAATGCAATTTTCACTACAAGAGATGCCATGGTTTAATTAATAACTACAAAATACTATACAAAGATAAACTTTGTAAATATTACTTGGTAAGTTCCATCTATCAGGAGTGCTTTCCTCCTTTTATAATGAAACTGCTCGGTATAGTTTATTGTGTTGGTTTCCTCTAGAGACTTGAAGTTGTGTTGTTTTCTCCTTGAGTGAGTACCTAAAAGACTGGAATAGAAAATTTCCATAATAAAGTATTTCATTTTGAGAGCTTACTTGCCCTTGTCCCTAAAGACTTGAGTGGATCTTGGGGGAAAGGACATACAATTTACATACTGAAATGCTTACCAACCTCCAAGTATATTTTCTTTCTGTGGGATAGTTTCTTTCCTTGTACCTCTGAGTATGAAAATAGGGTCAAGGGATAAAGAGAGCATCAAAATCCTTAGAGACCTGACATATAAGTGCTTTTCCCCAGCTGAAGAAGCTGCAAAAAAGCTTTCTTCTTCACCATTTACTGACTGGGGAAAGAAGATGAGGAGTGTAAGGTAGAGACTGAAATACAAAAGATCACCTTTTTGTCCTGTGTGGTATGGAAAAAGATGAATCACATACTAAGCTTACAATGGGGCAGAAAATAAGGGGAGCTTAATGGATTGTGGTGATGCCTCAGAGACAGAGTCATACTTAAACATAACACACTATCCAAGCTGTATTTATGAACTTCAAAATTTTAAATAGCTATTTTAGTGGGAGTAAAACATATTGGTGAAGTTTTTCAAAACCATATTTTTCTGAAATTTACAAACTGTATACTTTAATTCATTTTTAGGGTGAAAATAGCAAAAGGGCACATATGTTTGAGATCCTTTTCTGCTCACATTTAATGTTAACTTAGGAAAACAAATCCAGACCAATCTGCCCTGCATACAGAAACAGACGGATTTCTAAGCATCTCCTCAGTTTTTTCCTGTTGGTTATGCAAAGGCATAAAAATCCCAAGCAAAGAATTTGCTTTAAAATATGTAAATATCCAATGTTTAAACTGTATTTTCCAGGTTGTCTCCTGTTAAAAAACTTTAAACCCCTGAAATCACCCCCTGGTTGCATAAGTGACAGTATCTCTTTTCAGCAGGCTGTGGTTTCTGGGCAGTTCTCCTTTGTGAGAGGCTCACAATAATCCTCCTTTTTCTGTAAATACTGGATTTACCAAAAAATCAATAGAAGTCTTTGATTCTGTTGGACCCCAATGCCTGTAATCTGTGCCCTGGACTCCACAGGTTCGTATTCACAGCAACAAAGTGAAATTACAGGAACTGATATGAACCAGTCAGTGCTGAATATGGCTTGAAAAGGTCACCTTCTTCTGTAAAACTCCTTACTTGTACAGACTGGTACTTTCGAGAGTTTTAAATGATGGACCCTTCTCATTCATTTATCTTCTTGGCAGGCAAATTATGGGTTCAGTGCATATCATTTTTATGTACTGCAGTCTGCAACTATCACTCTAATAGGTAATCAAGATAAGCAAAGTCAGTTTCATATGGTGTAAATAGTAATGGGAATTATTTTCCTTTCTTCCCCAATAATTTAAAACCATGCTTAATTCATCATTCCTGCAAGTACAAATACTAAGGTTATGAAGTAAATTTAATATTTTGGAGCTGTGATTACAGGCAATTGGACCTTGGTCTTTCCAGTGTGTTTCTTCTTTCAGAAGTGAATCTCAAAAAAATACTGCTTTTGAAAGTAATTGACATTACTTGGAGCTTGTATTTACAAGTTAAATAAAGTCTTCCTCATTTTAGGAAATCTTTCCATGGCAGAAGATACTCCTATGTCTGCCTGTCTAAATTAGGCAGACCAAATCTCCCTCTGGAGATCTCCAGAGGCACCTACCATTAGTGACTACATTGGAAATTTGAATGCTTCTCTCAGGATAAATGATTTCCAATTTCTCAGTGCAGTAAAAGGCATGTCTGAACTTATTTGGAGAAGATCCCATCTTGCACTGCTATACCACTAGAGTGCTAGCTGATATGCATAAAATAATATTTACCTTCTCCACAAAGGGCTGAAAACTGTCCCTAATGGAATTGATGCTTACATTCCTTAAAGGAGTAAATGCCATTACTTCATATGACATTAAATGCTGGTGACAGTCTAATTTTTCCTTTACTACTTGTCATTATTATTGCAAGGTGAACGCTCTGTTTCACCATGCTGCCATTTGCCCATTTACCTGTCTCAAAAAGGTTGCAAAAATAGTGAGATGAGACTTTGTTTTGACACTGATTTGGCATGCTAACAACTAAATTTTCCATCTGCATTTTTTAAAGCTTTTATCAATGTACCACAGCACAGTCAAGTTAATATGTGTTTTTGTAAGAGCTGTTCAAGTATGAATTGGAAATTGGGATGGAATATATTACCTGAATCCTCATCTGCTCATACAAAGAACCATGTTTTGAAATCATTCATCCAAAGGTGTGGCATTTGTGCCTACTTACTTTTTATAACCACGTAGTAGTTAAAACCTCCCTGCCTCTTAAACTAGTGCCAACAGCTGTATACATGTCACAAATTAGACATTTCAATTACTTTTTTAATTACTGAAATACAATTCTTTCTCATGGAATGAAGGAATTCTCAAGAGTACACCATTAGACAGACACATAGTTTGACCCAGTCTTTGGTGGCACCTTCTTGGAGTCTCACTTTCGAAACTTTTCTTTCCCTTTCTCTTCCTAAATGCTTTTTGTTGATATAGTGTAGCCTGCAGTTTGTACCTTTCAATAATGGGTAAGTGGGAAGCAAAATTTCAGTGCACTTTCTGCAGCAGCCATTCAGCATTCGCTGGTATTAGAATTGCTTTCAGCTGTGTTTGCTTCTAAACTGCCTATTTATTTTTTGTTGCACTAGGAAAGACTTCCTCACGAGTTTGTTTTTTATTTCATATTGCCAATGCATATCTAAATGTTAATTTTGCCTTAGATTTTGGTTTTATTAGGTTTTTTTACACTTTTTGGTTTCATCCAAAGTTAGAACAAATCTGCAGGTAAAGAATAGCTCAGTATGTTTATTGTGTTAATTTTTTTCCCCCAGTGATTTTTTGGCACTGCTTCTTTTTTAAATTATTTATTTCTGGAAGAAATACAATGCTACTGTCTTTTTGAAAGCAAACTCTTGAACATATTCTTGTTTTGGCAAGGCATGATAGTAGAATACTAGTGATGTAGGGATACCAGGATATTCCTACTTGACAGAGAAGTCTATTTCATATTTCATTGTGTGAGCTGTTCCACTCTTTTATCCTTTCTATTGAGAGCTGCCTCTGACTGCTGGCTGGTGCCAACAATATTTAAAGTGCTTGACTATTACCACTGCATGTAAAATATTGGCAGAATTCCTGTAAAAACATTGAGCAGTTAGAGATTAGGTGGGAAATTATTTTCTGAGATTCATACTCCTCCCTTTAAAATGTACTTCAACTTCCAGCCTCAAAAGCACACAAAGGAGTGCAGGATTGCTGATGCTTTTTCATCTCTTGGGAGTGAAAAGGTTTTCTTCACAGTTTTGTGACAATAGTGAAGGTGTAAACCCTTTTTGTTGCTCACAAAGGTGGTCTGTCTGTATTTGTAAGTCAACATTAAAAGTTACATGAACATTCTGAGATGACTGTATGTCTTGGAAAA